AATGCAGCGTGCAACTTCCAAGTCAATCGTGACTTAAGTGCAAGTCTACCGTGCTGATCCCATGCCTCGCCGTCACGGAATCTTTGCGCTATCGCGTCTGAGCGCTCGCCTGCCACTCACGGATCTGCAGGACGGGTCCGAACACGGACGAGTCGTCGACGGTGGAGCAGTTCCAGCGGCTGTTGCGGAACTGGTGCTGGCACTCGGCGATGCCTGCCCGGGCGCCGCGGCCCACGCTCCCCCATGTGGTCCTGCGGGGTCACGTCAGGTAGCCGGGGTCACGGCCATGCGCCGCCAGCCAATCACGGCGGCACGGCCGCAGACGAGCGGAGTATGCCGTTGGAGGGCGGGAGGGTGTGGCCAACCGGCCTGCGGCGGCAAGCTTGCAAGAGGATGTGAGAGTGAAGAGCTATATGGCTGAGAGGAAGGCAGGGGTCACCACAGCTGCAACTGTATGCTGAGGCTTTAAAATCTAAAAGAAAGCGACGTCTGGGATATTAATGAAACATATTTTGCTGAGAGGCGTTAAATGTCTCGCTGCGAGTGATATATAGTACAAATAGCTTCATGGAATGTTAGCGACTGAGGTGCGATAGCTTTTCGACTAGGGAGTCTCAATTAGCGCCCTCGTCATCATTATCTCTTCAGGGAGTCTGACCTGATTTACTTATTCACACCAACACAGATAGTTCTGGCTCCGGCTAAGACCTGTCCGCACTGCAGGCGGGTCAGTGTGACTGACCTCTCCGTATCGCAGGGAGGTCGGTGTGACTGACCCCTCCGCATCGCAGGCGGTCGGTCTGACTGACCTGTCCGCACCGCAGGGGGTCGGTCTGACTGACCTATCCGCACCGCAGGGGGGTCGGTCTGACTGACCCGTCCGCACCGCAGGCAGGTCGGTATGGCTGACCTGTCAGCAGCGCAGGCAGGTCGGTCTGACTGACCTCTCCGCATCGCAGGGAGGTCGGTGTGACTGACCTCTCTGCATCGCAAGGAGGTCGGTCTGACTGACCTGTCCGCACTGCAGGGGGGTCGGTCTGACTGGCCTGTCCGCACCGCAGGGGGTCGGTCTGACTGACCAATCCGCACCGCAGGAGGGTCGGTCTGACTGACCCGTCCGCACCGCAGGCAGGTCGGTATGACTGACCTGTCCGCACTGCAGGGGGGTCGGTCTGACTGACCTGTCTGCACCGCAGGTCGGTCTGACTGACCTGTCCGCACCGCAGGTCGGTCTGACTGACCTGTCTGCACCGCAGGGAGGTCGGTGTGACTGACCCGTCCGCACCGCAGGCAGGTCGGTCTGACTGCCCTGTCCGCACTGCAGGGGGGTCGGTCTGACTGACCTGTCTGCACCGCAGGTCGGTCTGACTGACCGATCCGCACCGCAGTGGATTGCTCTGACTAGCCCGCTTGCAGTGAAGGGGTAGGTCATTCTGGACGACCTGCCTGCACTGCAGAGGCTCGGCATGACTGACCTGTCGCAACTGACAGAGCTTTCTCTGTCCAGGGCTGAGACCCGATATTCTGCCGCACAACGGTGACGTGCCGACCACGTAGATCTGCGGGTTCCTCCACACGTCCAGGCCCTGCATGCCCAGGTTCCTGAAATGCACGACAGCGAATAATACATGTAAATGCTCCACCGCGCACCGGCTCGGGCGGACATTTCGCCGAATGCACTTGATGGAAGGGTCTCGAAGACAATCCCACAGTCGTCTGAATGCATGCGCTCGAGACAGCCACAGTCACATGCGCCTGCGCCTTCCGAAACTCTTCTGTGCGAGCTTGTGCAGTCTCTGCCCCGTTCGCGGATCGCTCAACCGGTTGGCTGCCATCAAGAGCACTCGGCCACGGGACGGTAAAGGCGGGATCTGGTTCCGCTTCGTAACCCGTACGGCGAGCTGTGACGACGAGACTGAGATATGAGCCATTCCGCAGGCGTTCCGTCACTTCTGGGTAATCGTATTAATTAATTCGCAACGCCGGCCGAGTCGGGCGAAAGCCCGCATATCCCGCGGGGAAACCGCGACGGCGCCGACCGCCCGGGATCCATAACGCCCAGATCACCACGATTTCATTTGTTTAAACATGAACTTGACGAAGAGAGCCCACTCTAAATGGGTGGGCGTGACTGGGACCACGACAATCGCCCATTAATAAGTGAGCCGGTGAACTCAAACGGTACTGCCGACGCCCGGCGGCACCGACTGGCAGGGCGGGCGGCGTCACGTGGGCTGGGTCACCGGCGGCCCGAGCAGTCGCCAACGCCGAACGCCGGCGGCCACGGCGCCCCCGGCGCCGGGCTGTCCCGTAATTGATGGGTGGCCGCCGCTGCCGTGGCCGCTGCCACTGGCAGCCGGCAGTTGCGACGACAAGGGAGGATTTATGACGCCGCCGCCGGCCGACGGGCGTGTGTGCACACCACGTCCGCCTCGGTTACGTGTGAGTGATGGCTGATTAGCGAAGCGGGCCCTTTGTCACGCAGAGCAGCTTTTGAGCCGCTCATTTCAACTAATAAATCATTGCGAGCACATGGTGCGGTGGGGATTTTCGACCGTACCCAGTTCTTATGCCTTGAACGGGTCGCGCCGCGGGCTGTTGCCTTCCTTCCCATATTATCTCCTCCTTCCGCGTTGCCGAGCCTGACGACGGAAATTATGAGCTTAATTCCCTTTAGACGGAGCGACACAAAAACATGGTGCTGACCACCCGCGGACACAGTCTGGGTGTTCCTCTCGATCAAGCTCGTTTTTCTCGGTCGTCTCCCGGCCGGAGTATTATCGCCAGCGTCGTGCCTGGTCTGCATGGCTTACGCTGTACACGCCTGCTCAGCAGCGAGTCACAGTGCGGCCTGCCGGTGCCAAAGCCCTGCAACAACTCTCGTGATGATTAGATGGATCCAACGCGAAAACCGCTGGCCTGCTCTGCTTCTGCTATTCTGCTCGGGTGGCCGCTTTGCTTCCGGAGATTGCCAATCGTTCTCGTAACGAATGTGGTTATATGCATTGGGAGGGATAATGGCTCTCATTAATGCCTGAGCGTCCCGAGGCGTTTGATGTCGATGCATGACCGATTACAGCCGTTGCCACGTTGTAGGCCCCCTCCCCACTAGACGAGATCCACAGTGTGTGTGTCAACGGCACTGTGACAGGGAAAGCCATCAGCACCTAGGCGTCATTTGGTATGAGTCAAAACAAGTTATACGCCAAAGGGTGGGTGTTGATGCGCCTTAAAGGATGAACAGGTGGTAAGCTTAGATAACCGTTCTAGAGGGCACCATTCTACAGATTGCACATCCAAAGCCGCGGAAACGCTTACACATATATCTCCGGTGAACCGAGCATGATTAAGCTTGCGTGTGCATAATGCTTCGACATCGTGTGTTTTAGATACCATGATATTTCCGTGCATCCGTTTAATAATCGTTGGAGAAGAATATCAGCTATAAACCATAAGACGATAGCCGTTACTGACCAATAAAAGCTCAGCGTACGTGCTATTAAGGTGCAAGGGCAATCGTGACAAAGCTCTTCACCAGCCTGCTGTACCGGGTTTCTTATAAAGCTGCCGGGCTTCACATCGTGAATTGATCACACATCTAAAGTCATTTGGTCCGGCTGTTTAGACAGCGTCAAAAATGAGCGATGTGACCATTCCCACCCAGGCAAGGCCGAACCGAGGCTACTGGCTGTCAGATGCTGCTAGTGAATCCGGTTGGTTGTGTGAAATGAAAGCCAGAGCGTCGACGGCAGTTTGGCAATTTCCTCCGTATCGATTTAGGCTGCATCTTGCCTGAAATTCTGAAATAAGCCTTGCCATGCTATTTTAAAATTTATTAATTCCCACTGATTGGTGGATTATGAGTCAAAGTTGTTCATTTTAGCACGACAGCTTTCATTCACACCCCGTGCAAATATATGCATATATAATTAATAATATATATCATAATATATATATATATATATATACATATATATATATATATATATATATATATATATATACATGATAAGCTTGATGTATCTTGGTTCACTTTGCATCCACGTGTTTCGTTTTTTCCAAGTTTTCTTTTTTAACTTACCACTCGGCAGCAATAGCACTCAGTTTTTCCATGTCGCGGACCCAGTCGTTACCAAAGTTTGGTTCACCTGGTACAGGCGTTCCGTCCGTCCCTCGCCACCTCTCCCTGATGTTCGGTCCGCCGACCCGTGTCACCCGGTCTGGTCAGTCCGACCTTGTCCGTCCCTCGGCACCTCTGCCTGATGTTCGGTCCCGCCGACCCGTGTCACCCGGTCAGGTCAGCCCCGCCCTGTCCGTCCCTCGGTACCTCTCCCTGATGTTAGTCCGCCGACCCGCGTCACGCGGTCAGGTCAGCCCCGCCCCTGTCCGTCCCTCGGCACCTCTCCCTGATGTTCGGTCCGCCGACCCGTGTCGCCCGGTCAGGTCAGCCCCGCCCTCGCCCGTCTGAGACCCGGCCGAGGGCGCCGCGGCCGGAGCGGCCGCCTGGGAGACGCCCGTGCCGCGCCGAGATACCATCGGCGGGACCAGCCCCGCACCCTGTCCGCCGGAGTCGTCAGTCGGACGCAGCCCTCACCCCTCCCCACGCCATACCGGAGCCCAGACGTGCTCCGCCGAACCACGGCTGACGTACGGACCTGCTCGTTGGCGCCAGGGCCAGAAGAAGAGCAGAGCACCTCAGGTGGGAGGTGCGCGGTGGCGTGGTGTCGTGTGAGTGTGGTGTGGAGAGCGCATACCGGAGGACAGTTAAGAGGGTGGTGAGCAGAACACCCCCGTGGAGAGCACCGATGAAAAAGAGACAGAAGTCAGGAAAAAATTGCTCGACGTTGACCTGCCGAAGCTTAGATGAGGGAGAACTGGCATGTACGGCGTCTGCAACGTCAATGATCGTTTCAAGATAACAGACTGCAGTCCGCTCAGGGAAAAATAATGCGATGAAGCTTTTGGGGCAAGTATCACAAACATCATCAGCTTAATGCTGAGTCCAACGCTTTAGATTTGGATCTGCGACAAATACACGTGCAACCACCAAGTTGGATTATCCCTAAACGAGTCGTATGAATGATAGACTTATTTTTAAGTACTCATTCATGTTGGCTAGTTCAAACTGGGGTGTGGCTCAGAATTCAGCACAGGGGCTCAGGGCGCCTTCTCCCAACTTGTAGCTCATTTTTCCCGTCCGACACGGAGCGATCTGAACCCAACATACGACGGCCGAGAAAATGAAGCAGTGCATGTGACAACAAACAAGTGTTAAAACCATGCTTCAACCAACTCTAAATCGCAAACTAAATTTACTCAAATCTAAGGCAGGCGGAGCAATTGGGCGCAAAAAAGCCTAGATAGACCGAAGGCAGGGCCCAGCAGAGTTTTACCAGCCCACGTCGCTGGTTAAGGCCGCCGCTCGGGGACAGGTGGTTAATGCCGCCGCTCCGCTGGACGAGCAGGAACTTACTGGCCACATTCCTGCTGCAGCAAATTGACAGCTAGATGCGCCTGGCTTATCTAGAAAGCGGCAAATGGCAGCACATGCACTGTTGACGGGCAAGTGTACGAAGGCGATATTTTCTGGCCGTTGCGTGGCATGCCGAGAAGGTTTAGAAGCGTTCAAACGAGAACGAGATCTTCGTAGACATTCGATGCCCCTCGACTTCGACTTAACTGCCCTTCGTTCTGATGATCATGCAGCTTTTAAAGTGTACAGGTGCTCCTTTTGGGGGTCATTTGCACTTTTCATTTGCACTGAGAAGCACACTTTGAGGATGACTTGGCTTTTGAGGTGGCTTTTGAGCTTTTGCCATTCTGCGCTTGGAAATGTTCCGTAACTAACAAGGTGTGTAAGACTTTCAAAATGCAACATGCCTTGCTGAAATGGCGATAGGGCACTATCACTCTCCTCTATTTGTAAAAGCTAATCAACCCTGGGCAATGTATGGAAAGAATAAACCTCCAAATACGATAAGCCCCCCCCCCCCTTCCGCAATGCTCCACGCTCCTGGACAATGCTACCATCCGTAAGAAATGAAAGCACTGATTGATTTGCGCAATGGAAAATGCATGTCAATAACATTACAATAACTCACCGACGGAACATTCCGTCCGGGATTACGAACATGATGTTCCGTAAAAGGTGGACATGAATGGATCTTTGACGACTACGTGATACAACAATAGCTTATCATTTCAACGAATCCATTCTATATTTGGGCTTTAGGCCTTCGGTTCAGGGTTTAAAATATATACGAAATACGCTTGGGGTGCGTGCACTCTTGTAAAACTAACTGGATTCAGGGCTAGAAGCGAGCATGAGCAAGTGCAGAAAGCAGGTGTGCTTGGAGATGTAGGAAGGCCAACATGTGCGCAGATATCTAGCCATGACAGTCGGAAGAGTATAATTGGCAGCGTTTCGAGAAACGTGACTGCTAAAAACAGAATTGACTACAAAACCTGGTCAGGCGGGATTTCTCGATACGGAACATTTCTTAGTACAGGCACAAGGGTTTTGCGTCGCAGCTGACCAATATGCAACCGCAACACCGTACTTTACGAGAACTGAAGCTGAGATTGCATCTGCGGCCGTGCTG